CATATAGATACATAATGAGCAAGTCACAGAAATGTTTAGCTCTTAACATCAGTGAGAAAAAAATTGTGTTTTAACTTCCAGTGGGCACCAATGACTACTGTCTCTCTTGTTGTTGTCAGTCTGTGTATTGAGAACAACAGCAACCCCTAAGCCTTTATCTTCGACCTGCTCCCCCCTACAGTGAGAAAGGATAAAAAGCAGTATTCTTTGACAGCAAAGTTTGTCCAAATGAAGAGTCACTTTAGTCATCTGAGGTGTAGTAACATTGTTTTGTAACGTAGTGGAATTACCCAAATGAGAAGAGTAATTACTGAGATTATGCCGCTTCTGTAAAAATAAGGCCGTTACTAATGCCGTTATTATGTAAAGCCGTTACTCACAACATTGACTGTACAGAGAAGACAAATTTAGCATATATAGGTTATATGATTTTATCAATACATATTTTCACTATTTTCTTACAGATTATATCAGGCAATAATCAGGGAAACCAGAGCACATTCATGAAGATAAAGAACAAAGGGATTGAATGAGCAGCATTAAGCCTTCACTCTGAGTTTCCCCATTATTAAGGATGAATTAAATAGCTGGAATATATCAAACAAAAATATTAGACTAAACACAGCACTCAATGTCTGACCTGCTCTGACTATACTTCCCTAATGATCTATTGTGTCGATAGATCAGTCCCTTTTGATGGTCCGCAGGTCAAAGAGGAGGCTAATAGAAGAGGCCAGTTCACTGACTCCAAACCTGAAAAACTAAGAAAAAATGAATCTTTTTTAAAAAAACTAAATATTTAAGGAAGGTTCTATAAACACCACAAATTGACTCAAAATACTCAGTGTTCGATGAAGCAACTTGACCACAGATTTGTGGATGTTGTGTGATGGCACATTGCTCTGTTTCCAGTTTATTTCGGTGTTGATCATAATGTATGAATAGCAGTTTGGCTGAAGCATTCTAACTCGTTAAGTTGTGAATATCCAGCATTTAAATTATTGCTCTGAAACTTTCTCTCTCGATCATCTACAGTAGGACCTTGTCATTCCTTGCATAGGTAGATAGTTATAAACAGGTAGTTTGATTTGATTTAATTTTGGAATTGTTTGTGTTGTATTTATTGAGGTTTTTTTTCAGTTGTTTTTTCAAGTCTTTATTAATAAACTCAAATAGTTATTGTATTGTACATTTAATTTGTTGTCTGTTTCCTGTCACTTTTCCATTAAATCTCTCAAAATCCATTTACAAAGTCTATCAATAAAGAAAGGTACTATCACCTTAAAAAAATTGTAAAATGAATTTATTTCTTTTATTTCTTTTCTATCTTTTTATCTGCCAATTTTTTGTCCTTTATACATTGTGTTACGTAATTTTATGATTTTATACTGTTTGATGTATGAAGTACCTTTTGGTTTATATATATATATATATATATATATATATATATATATATATATATATATATATATATATATTTCATTATACATTTTTTTACTTACATCTCCCAGCATACAGTGAGACCAAAGTGAGACTGAAGCCTGTTTCTGCTGTGACTCAAGCACGTATTGAGAGAGTAGATCAAATCTGAGTTTAGTCTCAGTTTAGACATTTTTATACATTTATTTTAACATACAGTAGCAGTTCGCATTTTACTGTGAAATAGGACCATTTCTTAGTTGGAAACACATTGTAACTCTAAAAGTGAAACAGATGATTCCTTCATCAACTGATTGTGAAATGAAGTACTTGGCAGACTATTTTAAATAGTGAAGTATTATAAGACTGGTTAATGTTTTTCACATTTTCGTGAACATGTTTAATCGTTGATTTTATTTATCAGCGCCTTAGTGTATTGTGTATCAAATTATTTTTGTCTTTAGAACCAGACAAAATGTGCAGGAAAACATATTCAGACCTTTTTGATGAACAAATAAAATTTATTCGGTTCTTCAGTATTGCCCAATAAAGTTTATCTTGTGACATTTCATGTTTCTTTTATTTCAGTTAACAGTTAAATAATGTTCAAAGTTCTGCAGGAAATAAAAGCAAAAGTGGTTAAAGTTTAACCACGAGTTCAAACAGTGCTACTGTATGTGGATCAAGATTTTGTGATTTTTTTTTGAAGGAGGAGTCAAAAATCTGTATTTTATGTGTTTGTAAATGATTACTGTGAGAAAGTCACAAGCAGCCTTTGACGTCATTTGACCTCATGTTTTTCTTTGTTTACACAGCAATGGTTTTAAAAGGATATTATAAAGCTTAAAGTATGAATCCTGTTGTATGGAAAATGAAGCACATTATGTTCTGTAGAAGCATGGGGCCTATGCATGGTGCAGCACTATCAGAGTTAGGTCGGCTGTAATCGACTAAAACAGTATTTCTGAAGTATCCACATAGATGAAGGAGTCTGTGTGAATGATGAATCATTATGGCCTGCCTGTGAGCATCTTAGCACACTCATGTTGCTCCTGGGCTGCCAACCCAGATGCACCTGCATGCTGCTCTCTACAGCACCTCATTAATAATTCCCTGCACCTGTTCAGCTTCCTTCATAAACGTATCTTCTAGACATGCAGTTCCAGATCTTTTGAGGGACTTAATGGCCAGCATTCTTTTCCTAACTTTTCTCCATCAAGTTTCTGCCTCTTGGATGATCCTGCCTTGCCTTTGTCAAACCAGACTTTGGTCTCTTCTTTCTGAACAATGACAAGAACAATCCATCAAAATACATTTTACAGCCAAAAACAACCAACAAACAAGATTCAACTTTAGCCATAGATTTCAAACTAAACCAGAAACCAAAAAGCTATGGGGGCAAACAGTGTGAACTGTTGAACAGCTGCCCCCACACCTAGAGACAATTTAGAGATGCCAATTAACAGTCATGCTTTTAGACTCTGGAAGCCAGAGAGAACCCATTCATGCGCAGGAAGTACAATCGAACAGGGAGAACATGCAGAAAGACCCAGAGCCAGGAATCAAACCCGGAACCTTCTTGCTGCAAGGCAGCAGTGCTACAAAATGCAGCACCATGCAGCCCTTCATTCTCTTCCTTTGCTAGTAATTTCTTCAGTTGTACACCAGGGGGAAGCCTAGGACAGACAGGATAGCTGATGTCACATGTTTGAAACTAACATCTTATGGAAATTTTATCATTATCATTTCCTAGACATGTCCCAGGATTAAAGACTATACTCAACATATGAAGATACTTTGTCAAGAGATGCCTGTGTAGATTCCACCTCAGGGAACTGATTTTGTTTATAAATTATTTTGATTAAAAAAAATACTACGGTAAGCAGATAATTTTGAATAAGAAAAAAACATTATTTTTTTGTAAATCAGATATAAATGAATTTCGTAAGTCTTTTTGTTGCAAAATTTAGGATATTGATGCAAAAATTTCCAAGCATATTTTTGTGACTTGGTTGTTAAGTCTGCACCTTCTATTTAGTCTTTATTAATAATTAAACATAGGTTGATTGTGATCTAAACTTGTCTTACCACATGCAAATACTGTTGTGCTGTGTATTGTTCCCCTTTGGCAGGCTTATGTCCTGAATGGTGCTTTTCCCCAAAAATAAGGAAAATTTGAATCAGACCTCATGTTCCCACCCGCTCGCTTTTTTAAGTTATAGATGTTTGGTTATTATACAAAAACTCTGGATCGGCTTATGTTGTTCTTTTCCATATTTCCACTGTGGTGGAAGTTTGAATGTACAAAGTAATTGTAACGTGCCTTTCCAAATAAAAATTTCAATAAAAAAAAAAAAAAAAACACAGGTTGATATCTCAGCTTAGGTAACAAGAATGAAGCAATATTTTTGTCCTTCTGATGCTCAACATTGCAAAGGTGAAACAGTTTAATTCCAAACCAGCATGTTTCATTCTCCTCTGATGTATTTCAAAACCTTTTTAAAACCTGCTTTTTTCAAACCTCTTCTTAAATAACATAATCGAGACTGATCTTAAAAACAGATCCATACAATATAAAACTTACATTCCTGTCCAGAGTTTCAAAGGTGTCCCTAAACAATTAACATCCTTTTTAGAGAACTGATGATTTTTTTATGCGTTTTAGTCGGGTTTCTGCAAGCATAACTTTACAGAAACTGCTCAGAGTTTCTAGTGACTTTTTATTATAGACATTCTAGTGTCTGTGGACTGACAGCATCAAACTTATGAACTCTATTTCAGCATATAATCATGGAAAAACAGATGTGTATTTAACAAATTGATACACACTGTTCTAAATTAGGCCTACATAAAAAGCCAGTTGAAAGATATATATATTTCTTGTTCCTACAACGAAAAGTGAAAGTGCTCCGTCTGATCATTACTCCAAATATATTTCTTAAAACGGTGGTTAACAGTTTAGAATCAATACCTACATTAACCTACAGTGTTAAAACTTTCTGGTTGAAACATTGCATTTTATATTCTGACCCTTAAAACTTTTAGCACATACCTCATTAATTTCTAGAGGCTCATTTTCTGTCCTTCAGATCAGAAAATGTTTTGTGTAAATCCAACCACAATGCTTACAATCACAGCCCTGCTGAAAACATTTAGTGGCTTCTGGCTGATGTTGCTTTAAAAATAGGCTAGGAAGGAGCAGTGGCAGAGGTAGACTTACTGTTAGGAGGGACGCCGAGCCTATCTCAAGTGGTTCACAGACTGAGAACAAATTTATTTCTCAAACAATCATTTGCAGGTAGAGTGTATAGATATAGCACAAAGGATATAATATGTATCAAAGTAAGTTGAAATTGATAAATAATGAAAAACATTTAATGAACAAATCTAAAATATGATTAGGTTAAAAAAAACCAATAACTTAGCAGCTGCTAATGATAGGATAAATGAAACATTGAGGCTAAGCGTTTAAAAGTGAAAGAGTCTTAATGTTACTCTGAGTGTTATGATTAAAAAGTGATGAAGCAAATTACTCTTGGTTTAAAAATATTTATTTACACAAACATATATAATATGTACAATTATAGTATTGTTTAAATGCTCTAAGTCATGCTTTTTTACATCTTCCAAAGTCAACTATGCAAAATATTGCCTTTGGCACTACAGACTATTCATTTACTATTAACAGGTGTGGGCGGCCATTTCATGACATCATGGTACTTCTGGTGCTTAGGCTCTCTAGAAAGGAAATCTTTTTAGTGCTTTTGCAGCGAAAAACACTTTTTTATGACTTAGCTAAGTAGCTTATACTTGCTGTCACTGTGCAGGACGGGCTGTGCTTGAGACAGCAAAATTTATGAGGATTACTCAGACACACATGAATTGATTGAATTAACACTCTCGGCATGATTTTGAGAGGGAAATAGCATTATAACAGTTTTAAAATCTCAAAAAGTTGATTTTGCATATTATAGGCCCTTTAAATATAAAGAGCAAAGTCTTGGTTGTTTGCTCTACATTTTTTCATTGGACAAAAAATGTTCTGTATCTATCGTTGTTTCTTGTGTTTGGAGAACAGAAATATCTCTACTGTAGCCCAACCGGCCTAACTGGTAGTGGCTAAAAAAAACAATCACTGCCAGGAAGCCACTGAAAAAAAAACATAACTGCTTTTGAGAGGTTGACAGCAACTGACCATAGATCCAACCTTATCATGAATGTAGGAATTTCTCAAAGTCAACGGATTTTTTCCCCTTTGTTTCTGTCTTCAGCCACAAATTTTTGGTCTCTTTATAATATGTCATTAATACCCATTATGAAATCTTAAAGTTTCATCTACTGAATAGTTTTACCTGGTGCAAAGTGAAACTATGATAAGATCAAATCAGGTTTCATAAGTTTTCGTTTGAATCTGATCTGCGGTGAAAAGAAACAGGTTTTAGAAAAGAAAAGAAATTGGTTTAACTCATCGCCTATCTGGTCTGCAAAACAAATCCCTCTATTATGCATGTACAGAATGCACTATATTTCACAGACACAGACATCCCCACACCAGGCAACTGTTTGTTGATCAAGTCTCTGGGTTCAGCGTCTCAGTGAGCTCCAACCTCCTCTCAGGAACTGAAAGGTCAGAAATATCCAGAGTACAATTATTTTAGATACGCAGTCCACGTCTTTTACCTGTTTTCTTTTTATAGGCCACATATCCAGCAGCCCCAATGGAAGCCAGAACAGATGATAATACAACAGCTATGATGAGGATTGTTGAGTTACTGGGTCTCTCTGGTGAACAAAGAAAAATTTAAATCACTAAAAGCAACAATGCAATTCCCAATACAATTAACCTCTAAACTTTCAAAGCAAAAACTTTTTAACATCATTAAAGAAAATTTGTAAAACAGCTTCAGTTAGGAATTGTAAATCTTAAATGCTAGATGTTAAAAATATTAAAGAGCGATGGTGGTCTAGGATGCAGGAGTTCATTCTGGAATTGTAGTGTTACAGGTTTGAACTCCAGCTCTGTCTCTCTTATTTGCTGTCCTTGAACCCATATAGCCAACTGATGGTGGTAAGAGAGCACAGTGGTGAACGTGTACAGCAACTTCACTTCTGTCTGTGTGCCCCAGGGTAGCTGTGGCTACATTTTAGCTCACCATCATCAGTGTGTGAATGGGTGAAAGACTAATTGTAGTGTAAAGCATGTTGGAGACCCGTGACTTAATAAAATGTGCTATATAAACACAGACTATTTATCATATAATGAGAAAGAGCCTGCACCATCATATTCTTTATTAATACAGAAGTTTAGTTTTTGCTTTGTAAAACATAAAACAAGGGAATAGGACATTTATTTATTCATTAAACTAAACAAACAAAAAAACACAAGAAGAAACAGGCCTTTTATACTAACCTCTGTTGGTTCTTATTTCTGCTTCATCAAGTTGGATAGTTTTTTCCTCTTTGTTTATGAGTTGAAACACACAGACATATTGCTTCCAGTCTTCAAGACTGATTGAAGAGATGTTAAGGTAAACTCTCATCTGGAAGGTCCCATCATCGTTTGGAAGGATCTCTCCATGTTCCACGTCCTCATGAATCTCTTCCCCTTCTTTCCTCCAGAACATCAGGGCTCTTTTAGGATAGAAGCCTGTAGCGTGGCAGGTAACTGGACTAGTAGGAGTCTTCTGCAGCAGAAACAAGGAGGGATGCTCTGTGAAAGGACGAAAGACAAAAAAAGGGGAATAGAGGCTTACCATACAAAAAACAGAAAAGATCATTCAGATAATGGGGAAAGGATTGGGAATAATGATGAATATTCTAAGAAAAAACAGAACATGAACACAGCTACAGTAGTTGTAACAGGAAAATGCAGTTAAAACAATGAGGTCACTGGAAAAGATAAAAAAAAAAAACTTTCTCTTCTTATATCTTGAGTTAAATGAGTTTTGTGTGGCTTTGTGTGTTTTAAAGTCAGAGGGGGGCATGAAGAAATTTCAGGACTGCTTTGAATACTCTGACTGGAACATGTTCAAAGCTGCAGCAACCTATGAAAACAAAATAAATATAGATGAGTATGCCATGTCTGTGTCAGCCTACATCAACAAATGCATTAAGGCTGTTAGCATCACAAAGAACATCACCACCCGGGCTAACCAACCACCCTGCATGAAATGAGTGTGGAGGTTCAGAAATTGCTAAAAGCATGGAACTCAGCTTTCAAGTCTGGTGATAAAGAGGGACTGAGAACAGCGTGTGCCAACTTAAATCGTGCCATCAGATCAGCAAAGCAGAACCAGAGCCGAAAGATCCACAATCTTTTAAACGAGGGCAGCAACACCAGGAGGATGTGGCAAGGCATACAGGCGATGACAGACTACAGCATGTGATGTAATGACTCTTATCATAATGAAGTGCTTCGAAAAGCTGGTTAAAGAACACATTTTCTCCAGTCCCCAACCCCCACATTCGACCCATCCCAGTTTGTAACCGCTCCACTGAAGAGGCCATCTCCTCTGCTCTTCAGTCTGGGTCAGACAGAACACCTCTGATGTCATCAGTCTAAGCACAGGCTCCCTTCACTGCATGAAAAGTGGGATTTTCGTCAATATGCGGCACTGTAGATTGTCGTGGAACTTCAGGTTAGCGGCAGTTTACGGCAATTTGCAGGCTTCACCGAAAACTCCCGTAAATTGTCAGAAATTGACGTGGACTTTCTTAGGCAGTGTTCCCCCCATACCTCCCCCCCATGGAATTCTAGGGGAGGCTTCAACATGTAAATGAACATGCTGTGAGCTATACAAATGCAAATCAGGGTTGCATGGGGGGTTTTACTCCAAGTGACATTTTTCTAAAAGGTAAGAAAATCTCTGATACAAAGAGATCAGGCTCAGTATAGACTCTTACATTTTAGCTTGAATTGATTTATTTAATTAAAGTATAGAGACAAAAACAGATCTTTAGCTGACAAAGCAATACATTTAGAGCAGTAATTATTAAAAATTGCATTTAAGATAAAAAATAAAATGTTATCTGTCAATATGCTTAATTCACAATAACTTAAGTGGAAAAGTTTCAAGAAATGAGTCTGAGATGAATCACTTTATAACATGGCGCATTATCCTGTTGGAAGTAGCCATCAGAAGATTGGTACACTGTGGTCATAAGGTCCGGCCAGGTCAAGATCCGCAATTGCAATCGCACCAAACAGGAAAAAGAACATCGACAAATTCCGGTTCGTCAAATTAAAATATAGCAGCAACAGATCGGTGACTAGAAATTATAGCACAGTTCTTATATATAAAAAAAAAAAAATAACACCGTTTATTTAAATGATTGGATCCAAACTATTGGTTATTCACCAACGAGGAAGCAGATTTCTCATCTCCATCAAAATATTTATTTTATATCGAGGGACTTAAACTTTAATTAAATCCATTCAAAAGAAACTTCTTATTACAGGAATGAAAAGAGATGCTGAGTTTGGGAGTAGAGAACAAGTTCATTCAAAAAAAGCAGTTTTGAATTATCCTTATCCCCGTTACAAAAATCTACAAAAATATATACATATATTTGGGTAGAAACTGAACATATGCTGGATGATGGTGGGATTTTTTTAATATGTCATATTAAATTAAGCGCTCACAGGGTTCATACAGGAATGAGTGACTCTAATTGAATGCTATTTTAATGCTATTAGAAATGATTTTAATGCCATCAACAAGAACCATGTACACAAGTTATTAGTGTACATGAAATATGAAGGAGCTGTAAGCAGAGTTCCATGACTCCTGTATGTATGTAAACACACACACACACATATATACGTATATATATCCTCTAGCTTTTTCTCCGCCTGGAGCGATATAATATATCTGACGAAATTGTTTTTATAAGCATTTTTTATTAAAGAATTATAAATACTTCGATAAACATATTTAAATAATTTTAGTGCCAGTTAAGGCCTTGATAAAAAAAAAAAAAAAAGAATGATTTTTTAATTATTTTTATTGATCCGCGGAAACCCTGGTTCATCTCGCGCATGCTCTTTACGATCTCCAAGAAACTCAGAGGGGAGCGGTCTGCAGCCAGAGTGGAGGATGTATGCTTTGCTTTGTGCAGGCGGTCTGGAGCGGAGTATGTGGGATTTCGGGGTAAAACTCCTCTTGGACGCGATGGCGACTCTGCATCGAACAAGACGAACTCAAAGAAGAGATGCTAGCGGTAAATATATGTTCGATTACTGCCTGCTAAGCTAAAAGCAGCCTAGCCTAAGCTACGGCTAATAGCAGCCTAGCCTAAAGCTACAGCTAATAGCAGCCTAGCCTAAAGCTACGGCTAATAACAGCCTAGCCTAAAGCTACGGCTAATAGTAGCCTTGCAAGAACAAGCTTTATTAAAGTGTATTTTTTGTGATTCACAGGAAGCAGTATGCTGTCTTCACAACTCGGAGACTAATTGCAGGCGCTATGAACCGGAGCAAGGGTAAGATTTAAAGAATAGGCTTTCATTCTGCGGTAAAAGGCAATGAATACGGATGGATACCGATCATAGCTGTACATTTTGTTTTCACAGACCTCCTATTTGCTCGGAGCCATATCAGCAAGTCCAGATTTGCACGATGTTGATAAAGACGACATTGTGTGTAAGTGACTTGTTTTAATGTTTTCTCCTTCCTTGTTACTGTGACTTGCATTTGATTTTTTATTCATACCACTCTCATTTGTTTTCCAGCTGCCTGTAAGACGTATTTTCAGACGGTACGCAGGAGCTTCAGATATACGCAGCCAGCCAACACGTTGCGTGCGGAGGCTGCCAAGCATTCTGCTCGGAGTCGGGCAAGAAGAAAGAGGGTAAGACTTTATTTCGTGACTATTTTTCAGGTGCATTGATAGATGTGTTGTGTCCATACGCAGTGCGCTGATTCATTGTTTTTTTTTCAGCTGCGAGTGTGCTAGCAGATGAGGAAGTGAAACTCTGGAAGTCCGCCACCGTCTGCCTCATGTCCGACGAAGAAGATGGCGTCGTTGGCGATGTCTCTGGATGGATTGTACGGTCGCTGCCATTTCGTAGGCCAGATCTCACTGAACTCTGTGTTAAGCTGCAGTCCCGGTTAGAAGCGATGCTGAAGTACAGGGCCACGCATAGTAGGCGTCTGCATATCGGACCTGCCTCGGAGGGAATGCTGCCAGTTACCTCCAACCCCGAGGAAGCAAACGGACCGTTTATGGACTTGTAATTTTTAGATACGCATGTGTTTGGATACGCATTGTATATAGTTGTGTGTGTTTTAATCAGGGGACGGAAATCTCCCTTTTCGTGCAGTGCTTCAGGGCTGCGTCCTGAGCCCCCTGCTGTTCATTCTCATGACACATGACTGCGTCCCCAGGTTCACCAACAATCACATCGTGAAGTTTGCAGACGACACCATGGTGGTAGGCCGCATCAGAGATGACAACGACCAGGACTACAGAGAGGAGGTGGAGCAGCTGGTGGACTGGTGCAGAGATAACAGCCTGATCCTGAACATGGAGAAGATGAAGGAGATCATCTTGGACTTCAGGAAGAACTGGCCTAATCAGGCTCCACTTCTCATCAACAGCTCAGCTGTAGAGGTGGTCAGTAGCACCAAATTCCTGGGGGTGCACATCACAGACACCCTCACCTGGACTGTAAACTCCAACTCACTAGTCAAAAGAATACAAAAGCGCTTTTACTTCCTGTGGAGGATGAGGACAGCCCATCCTCGCAAACTTGTACAGATGGTGAAAAAAGGCCAAATGTTGGAGCAGTCATTAGGAAATGGAAGTTTAGTTTAGTTTTATTAGGATCCCCATTAGCTGCCAAATAAATGGCCACTAATCTTCCTGGGGTCCTCACATAAAGAAATTACATTACATTATAAACAAACCATTTTTAAAAAAAATTGCACAAGTTGCACATTAGGAAATAATAGGAATATGAAAAAGAGTAAAAATATACAACATAAATACATAGGTCAGTTCATCATATCATCTGCAGTAGTTCTGAAGACAGTATCTTTTTGAAGCTTGTTCTGTTCTGGACTCTTCGCGAGGTTATTGGCAGTTGGTTCCAGTGACATATGGCTCTATAATACATTCTGGTTTTAAGATAGTTTGTTCTGGGTCAAGGGAGTTTAATGTCTCCACCTAGTGCCCGCCTTGTTAAATAATTATGACTTTTTCAAGAAGGACTAAATGTTCAGCAAAAAATTAAGGCTGTTTTTTAAAGAAAACATTCCATATAAATAGGAGAAGTCTTCATTTAAGTTTATAAGTAACTGTTAACCATGAAAGCCGTCTATGCATTGAAGCCACATTTGTTCTTTGTAAGCACTGAAGGACCACTCTGGCCGCCCTGTTTTGTGCCAGCTGAAGCTTGTGAACCTCACTCTGTGAAGCTGATGACCATATCACTGGGCAATACTCCATATATAACTCAGGACAAGAGACTGTACAACCTGTTTAGTAATAGCAGTGGGTATGAATGAAACACATTTCTTCACCATCGTAATGCCTTTACCCATTTTAGCCACAATACCATCTATATGAGCAGCCCAAGACAGGTGTGAGTCTAAGATAACTCTCAATAATTTAGTTCGCTTTACTTGCTTCAGTTGCACCCCGCTAACAAACATAGTGAGGTTTCATTTTTTAATTTGATTACTTCCAAAAGTGATAGATGTTATTTTTTCTATATTTAAGTTTGACACACGGTCAGCTGTTTGTGCTGCACAATACAATGTGGAGTCATCTCCATACATAACTATAGTTGTATTCTCCAGTATGCAGGGCAGATCATTTGTAAAAATAGAGTACAAGAGTGGAGAAAGGCAGCTTCCTTGTGGTAATCCACAACGATGTGTTTTACTGGACGAGCATTCACCAAAAATGACTGTCAATCTCCCTCAGATTAGAGCTCCATGGAAGCTCTCGCCTCACCTCAATCATGTGGTCAGATGAGACAAAGATAGAACTTTTTGGTCATAATTCCACTAACTGTGTTTGGAGGAAGAAGAATGATGAGTACCATCCCAAGAACAGAATCCCTATGTGAAGCATGGGGGTGGAAGCATCATGCTTTGGCAGTGTTTTTCTTCACATGGAACAGGACGACTGCACTGTATTAAGGAAAGGATAACCAGGGCCATGTATTGCAAGATTTTCTGGAACAACCTCCTTCCCTCAGTTAAAGCATTGAAGATGGGTCGGGGCTAGGTCTTCCAACATGATAATTAGCAGAAGCACACAGCCAGAATAAGCAAGGAGTGGCTCTACAAGAAGCATTTCAAGGTTCTGGTGTTGCCTAGCCAGTCTCCAGACCTAAACCCAATAGAGAATCTTTAGAGAGAACTCAAACTCTTGTGTTTCTCAGACACAGCACAGAAACCTGACTGATTTAGAGAAGATCTGTGTGGAGGAATGAGCCAAAATCCCTCCTGCGGTGTGTACAAACCTTGTAAAAAACTACAGAAAACATTTGACCTCAAATATTAACATTGATATTCTTAGGTGTTCACATGCATTTTCATAGCTGTATCATACAAATAAATAGCTAAAAAATGATAGATTGTGACTTCCTGTTTTTTTTTCAAAACTCGAAATAATAGGATTTTACTTTTACTTGTGTTTAATGTGCGATTAATAAAATCTCTGCTCAGTGGATGCCAATTCCCGATTTTGCTATCAACACCAATCTAGATAATTCCTCACACTTTATTTGTGAAACTTACTGTATAACATTCCAGGTATAGCATGATGTTTTTAAGCCACTTACCTGAAACCTGCTGAAGATTCCCTCCCCCTCCTTTTTTTTTTTTACATTTACATTCCCAGACTTATGAAATTCATACCACAATCACAGAGAACAGGTATGATTACGAAGACAAAATTACATAATTGTAAACACAATATAGATCTCTGCAACTTAGAACCTGAACCAGCAGAAGATTCCCTCCCCTCCTTATTTTCACATTCCCCCAAATCGTGTTGTCTTTGCCGCTTGGCATCACCTCCTCCGCTGGTTGAGCCACTGCGGTTGAAAATGAAAGCGCATGTGCCCTCTGGGCCACTGTAATTTGGTCCAGCTACTCGTTAGCGCACAGCCTGCCAAATGTTGAAAGGGCAATATTATTGCCATTATTGTTAATATATTACAAATTTACACACTCAGTGATAAAATGTCTCAGGGGATGTTGTTTTTATAATGTTTTTTGTTTTGTTTTTCTGTGAAGCACTTTGGTCTTCCTCGTGTTGTTGTAAAGTGCTATACAAATCAACTTTGATTGATTGATAGTTTGATGGTGTTATTTGATTACCTGTTCTCAGCAGAAAGTCCTTCCCTGTTTTCAAGCCTCTCTTCACCCATTCAGGGCACATCTGCATAAGAATTCTCTGGTCGAGCAAAATCCTCTCTCTTTCAGTGTCCCATACCCTTTTAAATGGTATGGCTTCTGGTTTTAGAGCAATCCAAGTCAGAGTCTTAAAATCCAGCGCAATTAAATCTTCTTTATCATAACCATACAGTAAAACAGCATTAACATTCTGAGTCTCCTCATCTGTCTCACAGGAACTGATCAACTGTAAAAAATGGACACCTGAGAATGAAACCAAAACAGATAAGTAAATAAAATGTGGGGATTAGTAAGAAAAATTACATTTTATCAAGGAGTAATCACATAGTTCTATACCTTGATAATGTCAGTATTTGAATAATAACACAACTTTACTTTGTCAAAAAGAGCTACCATTCATAGCTTTTAAAATAATAGCAATAAATAAAAACATGTATGACACATAATAGTAAGTGTGAATAAGCAGCTTTTTTTTCTGCTCATACTATGTTTTGTTTAAGACTGTTTAGCCAATAAAGCTGCAAATCTGTCTAATGTCACACCAGCTGGGGCATACAGTCTGCAGCAACCAATGCACTGATGGTGGCTACAGATTTCAAATTATAACTCAGTTTCAAAACAAAACCAAGAGAAAACTGCAGTGAAACACAAATAATTCTTAATTTCAAATAGCATTATGGTAGTCATAAGATTTCACATGAAGGCTACTCCTTTATTTAAACTTATGCTGGGCGATAATGTATGCTTGCATGAAAACCTTGTGTTAAAGTAACTAAATATACTTGAGCAGGTGCGGGAAAAGGCTGCTTTTTTTCAGAGTAGAGATTTTGAGACATACCTTCTTGTTGTCTGAATTGTTTCTTCAAAGCAGACATATAATCTCTAAAGTATGGCAGTTGTGCAAAACACTGCAAGTTGAACCAGTCGTGTAGCCCAGGGTCGTCTTTGAGAAATTTATCAACCCAGTCATAATTGTGCTTTATTGATTTGTTGCGGCTGTCGCAAACTGCAACTGAGTTATCGTCTCCCATCACAGTAATTTCTAACTCTGGGAAGTTAGAGAGTCCTGAAGATCCGGTCATTAGAAACTTCAAAGAGTGTTTCCCTATGAACATGGAAAGTTGAAAATGTAAATATCAATTTTTTTCTACAACAGTTTAAGTTTCCAAGTAACCAAACAACAATAATCGCGGGATTGCGCCAGGTAGGAGATAACAATAAGCAGTAAAGTTTGTAAAATGAAATGTAAAGATTAAGAGTTAAAGTTCAACCTTACCTGCTGATAAAAACTGGCAGAAAAGATAAAACAAAAACAACTTCATAATCTTTCTTTTGTTGGAAAAAGCAGATGGCGTAATCGTGAATGGTCCCTATGCTGTGTTCACGCAGCACAGCCTGCCCTGCGGGTATGTTATACTGTGGGGAGTTCCTCTCTCTGCAGTTCAAAGCTTTGGCAAGCCATTTTATCATAAAATCAGCTTATTTTTCACTACCCGTAATAACAGTACTTTTAAGATATTAAAGAAAAGTTTTGACCAGGAATAACTACATTTTTACTATCCTGAATGATCATTTAAGATTATATTATGAATAGTAAAAAAAAAAAAAAAAATAAGATATCTTCAATTAAATTTTGTAGAGTCAAAATGCATTGTGAGATATTTCAAATGAAGTCACCTGATTCGTCATTTAAAATGTCAAACATCCAGAATTACAAACAGTGGCTCTGTTCGAAATCCTGGGCTGCATCCTTCAAGGACGCGGTCTACCTAGACTGGATCCTTCTAAGTCCGTGAAAATAAGGAGACCCCAAGTGTTTTGGCCGTGAATTCGAACAGGTCTACCCTTCGGCGGGTTTTACCGCTGTGTGCTCTGTTGCTTAGCAACCGTGAAAGTTGACAAGCAAAGCAGGAAAATAATGAAAACCGAAGTTTTCAAAACTGTTTGTTTATTTATTTACTTTTCACTGTAAAGTAAACAAAGACTACACTCACAAGAATCCAGAGTGGAATAAAGGTGCCAACCACCGGGAGCAGGAACAAATAAAAGCAAATCTAATGATAGAAACCTTAGTCAGTTAAATAACATGCTGCTGTCATTTTGCACATCTCTCATGTTGCTGCTATTTTCAAATATCCATTACTGTAAAAGTGTCAATAGCTGCATATTGGTTATTTATTCTCCAGTTTTATATTGTTAAAACACTTTACAGTATTGTATTTTTTATATTTTACATTTGTGTGACCATTTTCAATAATCTTAATGCTGCTGTAAATTTGCCCATTGTGGGACAATTAAGGGATTTTCTATTCTATTCTTTAAAGGGGGTAGAAATATATAAGTAAATCTAAACAATGTATGTATAAAAATATATCTGCAAAATCTCTAATATGCAACAACAAAAAATACTTAACTAACATATTGGGCAAAACAGCAATAAAAAAATTAAACTCCTATCAGATTTATAGTCCCCACACTGCAGATATATTAGAATCGTCCTTCGAATCTGGCCTTATAAAGACGCGTCCCAGGATTTCGAACAGAGCAATTGTTGATTTTTATTGTCTTGTTGCTGCTGTCGCAACACGTGACTGAAATGTCATCAGCCGTCACAGTAATCTGTAACTCTTACATTTATTCATTTGATGTATCTTTTCCATTTAATCATATGCTTACCTGCTTATTGAACATTTATTTTAAATATTTAATTATCTTTAATTATGTCAGGGTTGTTCATCCATTGCTTGGATTTGCAGATGCAGTCAGCAATGCTGATGCAGGATTATTACCGAATTTACAAAGAAAAAACTTTTTTAGAACTTTGTCATGCTGAAATCCATGTATATGCCAGCTCCTTTCTGCTCAACTCCACATGCAGAAAACTTGATGCAATCTATTGTATTAAACTGCAACAGAGGCAGATCATAGGAAATATGTGGTAGCACATAATGTTTTTCTCATTGCTGTCAGCAAGATTCTGTATTAATCAGACTAACAGCCTTTACAGTTAAACATTAGCCTCCAAGTTAAAATAAATTAACAGACTTTGAACTGTAGGAAAAAAATAAAGCTAAACCCATTTTCATTTACACTTCAGCTTGTGAAGAAAGATGAAACGACTTTTGATGCTCTTTGTTTTCTGCCGTATCATGTTTGCAGGTAAGATAATAAAAAATAGATATTTTGTATGCATTTTTGTTTTTAGAATCTCTTCTCAAACTTCTAACTACGGTAACTAAATAGCTTTATTTAAACTCATCCATCCATCCATCCATCCATCCATCTTCCTCCGCTTATCCGGGGTCGGGTCGCGGGGGCAGCAGCTTAAGAAGGGAGGCCCAGACTTCCCTCTCCCCAGCCACTTCTTCCAGCTCTTCAGGAGGAACCCCAAGGCGTTCCCAGGCCATCCGAGAAACATAGTCTCTCCAGCGTGTCCTGGGTCTTCCCCGGGGCCTCCCCCCGGTGGGACGTGCCCGGAACACCTCACCAGGGAGGCGTCCAGGAGGCATCCTAAACAGATGCCCAAGCCACCTCAACTGGCTCCTCTCGACGTGGAGGAGCAGCGGCTCTACTCCGAGTCCCTCCCGGATGACCGAGCTTCTCACCCTATCTCTAAGGTAGAGCCCAGCCACCCTACGGAGGAAACCCATTTCGGCCGCTTGTATCCGCGATCTCGTTCTTTCGGTCATGACCCAGAGTTCATGACCATAGATGAGGGTAGGAACGTAGATCGACCGGTAAATCGAGAGCTTCGCTTTTTGACTCAGCTCTCTCTTCACCACGACGGACCGGTACAGTGCCCGCTTCACGGCAGACGCTGCACCAATCCGCCTGTCGATCTCCCGCTCCCTTCTTCCCTCATTCGTGAACAAGATCCCAAGATACTTAAACTCCTCCACTTGGGGCAGGACACCCCCCCTGACCCGGAGAAGGCACTCTACCCTTTTCCGGCTCAAGACCATGGCCTCGGATTTGGAGGCACTGATCCCCATCCCGTCCGCTTCACAATCGGCTGCGAACCGATCCAGCCAGAGCTGCAGATCACGACTTGATGAAGCCAACAGGACCACATCATCTGCAAAAAGCAGAGACGCAATCCTAAGGCCACCAAAACGGATCCCCTCAACACCTTGGCTGCGCCTAGAAATTCTGTCCATGAAGGTAATGAACAGAATCGGTGACAAAGGGCAGCCCTGGCGGAGTCCAACTCTCACTGGAAACGAGCCCGACTTACTGCCGGCAATGCGGACCAGACTCTGACACCGGTCATACAGGGACCTGACAGCCCGTATCAAAGGACCTGGCACCCCGTACTCCCGGAGAACCCCCCACAGGGCCCCCCGAGGGACACGGTCGAACGCCTCCTCCAAGTCCACAAAGCACATGTAGACTGGTTGGGCGAACTCCCATGCACCCTCCAGGACCCTGCTGAGGGTGTAGAGCTGGTCCAGCGTTCCACGACCAGGACGGAAACCACACTGCTCTTCCTGAATCCGAGGTTCAACTATCCGACGGACCCTCCTCTCCAGCACCCCCGAATAGACCTTGCCGAGGAGGCTTAAGAGTGTGACTCCCCTGTAATTGGAGCACACCCTCCGGTCCCCCTTTTTGAATAGGGGGACCACCACCCCAGTCTGCCAATCCAGGGGGACTGCCCCCGATGTCCATGCAATGTTGAAGAGTCGTGTCAGCCAACACAACCCCACAACATCCAGGACCTTGAGGAACTCCGGGCGGATCTCATCCACCCCCGGGGCCCTGCCACCGAGGAGCTTTTTAACCACCTCGGCGACCTCGCCCACAGAGATTGGAGAGCCCAGCCCAGAGTCCCCAGGCCCAGCTTCCTCAATGGAAGACATGTTGGTGGGATTGAGGAGGTCTTCGAAGTATTCCGCCCACCGACCCACAACGTCCCGAGTCGAGGTCAGCAGCACACCATCCCCACTATAAACAGTGTTGGTGCTGCACTGCTTCCCCCCCCGAGACGCCGGATGGCGGACCAGAATCGCTTCGGAGCCGTGCAGAAGTCTTTCTCCATGGCCTCTCCAAACTCCTCCCACACCCGAGTTTTTGCCTCAGCAACCATCCGAGCCGCATGCCGCTTCGCCCGCCGGTACCCATCAGCTGATTCCGGAGTCCCACAGGCCAAAAAGGCCCGATAGGCCTCCTTCTTCAACCTGACAGCATCCCTCACCGGAGGTGTCCACCAACGGGTTCGAGGGTTGCCGCCACGACAGGCACCGACAACCTTGCGGCCGCAGCTCAGATAAGCCGCCTCGACAATGGAGGAACGGAACATGGTCCACTCGGACTCAATGTGTGTTTAAACTCATTAAGGGGTAATTTGTGATTTAAAGATACAATATAAATTGAATTATCCTTATTTTGACCAATTTACAATGGCATTATTTGTCCAGATACCAGTTTAAAAAAAAGGGAAGATAACAGGCCAATCCGACAGCCCTGTTTTTATCTCAAATACATAAACATTGGTGATCAACGGTAACTTAATGTCAATGGTATGAATCCCTAACAAGAAAGTCACAAAAGACAAAAAAAATTTAAAAAAATTCCTCCTGCTTAAAAATAAAAATGATTGTTTCCCCAAATGTTTTTTTTTTTTTATGAGTTGCTTTTGAGTTTCCTTCTTGACATAGAATAGAATAGAATAGAATAGAATAGAATAGAATAGAATAGAATAGAATAGAATAGAATAGAATAGGTAATCCCTTCATTGTCCCACAATGGGGAAATTCTGGTGTTTACACAGCAGCAAAAAGATTATAGAAAAAAATGGTCACATAAATATGGAATAGTGTTAAAAGATAAACAATAAAATACTGTACTGTAAAGTGTTTTAACAACATAAGAATAAATAACAAATATACAGCTATGGATATTTGAAAATAGCAGCAACATCAGAGATGTGCAAAATGACAGCAGCATGTTATCCAACTGACTAAGGTTGAAACTGTGTAAAATCAGCATGAATGTAGCAAATTATTGAGATGGTTGGGAAGAGTGGTGTTTGTAGAGCAGGGGTCTCAGACTTGCGGCCCGCGGGCCAACTGCCGTCAAGACGATAGTTTGTGGCCCCCACCTTAATATAAAAGTTTAATGTTAATGCGGCCCGCGAGCTTGATATGATTGGCACTTTTTAGTGTTGTGTGCGGAGCTGAACGAACTTACCAATCACGGTGGAGTATATTGCTCTCGGGGGTGGGACATCTATTTGTCATTATTAGCATGCGGCACTTGCTCATTTTCCGTGCCCGTTCCAGCTTCACCATCCAGTCTAGACCTGGAAGTTGCTACTCAGTGTAACGTAATTAAGGCTAGGCGAGTAATAGAAAATTATTACATTCAAGAAGACCTGCTCCTAAACGGCAAAAATAGAAAAGGGAAAAACATTAATGAAAGTATTAAAAAAAACACCTTTTAAAACAATGCCTTTCTATAGTACTTTTAATATTAACATAATCATAAAACATAGTGTCTTAGTAACCTTCAGAATCTTTTCTATCAGAGCTGTTGTTTCAAGGACAAGCCTGTTTATACTGCTGCTTTATTGGTATGAGGAAGTTATGATTAAATAAATGACCATTTCGCATTAACGGGTAATGTTCAGCTGACTGTTCAGCACCTTTAGTGTCTTTGCATATTTTATCTGCATGCACTCTATGTGAGTAATTTAGCATCCTTATTGTACCCCACTTTGTCTATGTGGAGGTTTGAGGCAGAAACAGGAGCTGCAGAAAGATATAAAGGTAGTGCATATTTGTCATGATTTTTTTTTTAGAGATCTGACCCACGTACAGTAAACCAGTCAGAGAACCGGGGTAAAATTAAATTAAAACTCAGAGGTCATTTTTTATCAGTTTAAACACAATGTCAAAATCTATTTTTAATTTCTACTAATCATAATTTAACCCGTCTTACAAAGAAACCCTTGTTTATTTTTCAAAGGGATTTTATTAAAAGAAAGAAACTAATGGTTAAATTTCTCCCCATTTTTTATTACATAAAAGACTAAAGTAAAAATGTATTATTTCCTGGTTAGAAGATGAAATTCCCAAAATATTTAGGAACTTTACACACATCAGTCAGAGCTTGCACTTAACACAACCACAGGAACAAAGGCAGCAGCTCCACTTGATCACAGACAAATTACAGTTATTACAGTGATAAGCTGTTATGATGAGAGAAACAAAATTAATTTGTTATATTTCTTCTGTCAGTTTTTATCAGCCATTAAGACTGTGGTGTATCTGAATACAGTACAGCAAGGGTTAATGCTTTACGCAGGTTACGTACAGGGAGTACTGTAGACCAATAGGATTGTGTATGTGGGATCACGGGGGTGTGTGACGCCTTACGTCTGTGGAAGTTGGTTGTTCAATAAAGTTATGGAGTAACGTCAAGACACAGTTGGTCCGCGCTGATTTATTTCCTTAAAAATAGGAGATACGACATGGTGTCAGAAGTGCTGTGTTTATGACGGAAAAGAAAAACTGAAAGTGAACCCGGTCCACGGCGACAGAGACGGAAGGAGAGACTTTGGTGGATGTTATGACCGAACAACGGGAGGAAAACGTTGACGTGCAGCAAAGGGAAGCGAGCATGGCGGCTAACGCACCGACTGCTACATTTAACATCCAGCCACCGGAGCCCTTCGATTTCAATAAACCGCTCGAGTAGACAAAATGGATCCGGAGGTTTGAGAGATTTCGGCAAGCAAGCAACTTGGCCATGAACTCCGAGGAGCAACAGATTAACACTCTGATATATTGTATGGGGGATGAAGCCGACGATGTATTGAGAGGACTGAAGCTAAGTGATGCTGACAAGAAAGAGTACGACAAGGTAAAGAATGGATTCGGGGATTTCTTTGTTGTGAAAAAGAACATTGTGTTTGAACGCGCATGCTTCAATATGCGAAAACAGGAGCCAAATGAGACTGTCGAAGCATTTGTTACTGCTCTGCATGCTCTAGCTGAGCACTGTAAATACGGGGACTTGCATGATGAACTCATATGGGATAGGATCGTAGTGGGGCTTACATACACCAGACTTTCCGAACGACTGCAGATGGAGGGGAATCTGACTCTGCAAAAAGCCATAGATATGGCAAGACAGTCGGAAGAAGTAAAAAAGCAACAGAGCACACTTAGAAGTGACGCTAGCAGCGTGATGCAGATGGAGGGCAGCTCCATAGACAGACTGATAAAGAAGGGACAGAAGTATGTATACTCGAAAAGCAGTGGTGCCCGTGCACGCCAACGCTCGCAAGCCAGAGACAAGGACATGCAGCCCAGCGCCCGGTGTTTCAAATGTGGAGGTCCCTCTCACACCAGAGCGGAATGCCCCGCCAACGAGGCAAAATGTCGGGGCTGCGGAAAAAAAGGCCACTACCAGCGTGTCTGCAGAAACAAGGCTGTAGTAGCGTGCATTGAGGAAGAAGATAGGAAAAGTTTCTTCCTGGGTTCTGTGACATGCAAAAACAATAAGTGGGAGGTGGATGTCGAGATAAAAGGGAAACGGCTGAAGTTCAAAATTGACACTGGCGCAGATGTAACTGCGATTTCTGAAAATGACCTGAAAGACTTGTACACAGGGGCACAAAAGCCTGTTCTCCATGAGCCAGAGAAACCCTTGCTGGGTCCAGGAAAGACACAGTTAGAGGTAGTGGGCTATACAAAGCTGCAGCTGACATATAAAGCTAAGCAGACGGAGGAGAAGGTTTATGTGGTCAAAAACCTGGGCACACCTTTGCTTGGGTTACCTGCCATTATTGCCCTGGACTTACTTATTAGAGTCAACAGTGTCACTATGGACTCTTTAAAGACAACCTACCCAAAACTTTGCAAGGGTCTAGGCGACATTCAACGACCTTACCATATCAAGCTCAAGCCTAACGCTATACCATTTTCTCTAAAGACACCACGGAGAATCCCTCTGCCACTGATGGGAAAGGTGAAGGAGGAGCTCCAGCGAATGGAAGAGATGGGGGTCATCAGGCGCGTTGAAGAGCCTACAGATTGGTGCGCTGGCATCGTCGTTGTCCCAAAGAAGAACAGCCAGCAACTACGCCTGTGTGTGGACTTCACAGGTTTGAACCAGTATGTGTGCCGCGAGAAGTACGTCCTACCATCAGTCGAACAGAGCCTAGGGATGCTAGCTGGAGCCAGGGTCTTCAGTAAGCTAGACGCGAACATGGGTTTCTGGCAGATTCCCTTAGCAGAGGAGTCAGCGAAGCTCACAACATTTATAACACCTTTCAGACGGTACCATTTCCAGCGTCTTACGTTTGGGATTAACTCTGCGCCTGAGCACTTCCAGCGTGTTATGGCGGAGGTCATAGAAGGACTGGATGGGGTAGTCTGCCACATCGATGACCTGCTGGTATGTGGAAAAGACCAAGATCAGCACGACGTTCGTCTACATGCCCTACTGAGAAAGCTCGAGCAAGTAGGGGTAACTTTAAATACAGACAAGTGCGAGCTCTCCAGGAGTGAGGTGGTCTTCCTCGGGCATGTCATCACCGCGTCAGGTATCAGGCCTGATCCAGAGAAGATAAAGGCGATCAGGGACATGAAAGAGCCTACGAACGTGAGCGAGTTGAGGAGCTTCCTGGGAATGGTGAACCAGGTGGGGAAATTCATACCCCAACTGGCAGAGAAAGACAAAGCTCTCCGCGACCTCCTCTCAAAGAAAAACTGCTGGCTGTGGGGTGTGGACCAGGCGGCGGCTTTCAGGGTGCTGAAAGAGGCACTGACCTCTCCACCGGTCCTAGCCATGTATGACACGAGCAGGGACACCAAAGTATCGGCAGACGCCTCGTCGTACGGACTGGGGGGTGTGCTCCTCCAGAAATGGGACAGTGAGTGAAGGCCGGTGGCTTACGCATCCCGCTCACTTTCACCCACAGAGCAACGCTACGCGCAGGTCGAAAAGGAGGCCCTGGGTCTAACCTGGGCATGTGAGCGCTTCCGGGACTTCCTGTTAGGAAAGCACTTCTGTCTAGAGACTGACCATAAACCACTCCTTTCCTTACTGGGCGCACAAGCGCTCGACCTGTTGCCACCAAGGATACAGCGTTTTCGAATGAGGCTCATGCGCTACTCTTACGACATCGTGCATGTTCCAGGGAAATCGCTCTGGACTGCCGACACGTTGTCACGGTCACCAAATCAGGAACAGATGACCGCAGATGACACCGAACTAATGGAGAGCACGAACATTTATGTGGACTGCATTGTCAACAATTTGCCGGTCAGTCCCACGTTTATGGACACACTAAAGACACAGCTGGAGGCTGACAGTGTGTGCTCTCGCGTCATGAAAATGTGTGCAGACGGATGGCCAGAGCACACAAAGCAGGAACCGCTCCTAAAACACTTCTGGCCTGAACAGGCCACACTCACTGTACAAGATGGATTGTTGCTGAAGGACACGCGTCTGGTCATTCCAGCAGCAATGCGGAACGACGTGCTGGACAGGCTGCACGAGGGTCATCAAGGGGTTGTGAAGTGCAAAGCACGTGCCCGTCAGACCGTGTGGTGGCCCGGGCTCGGACAACAAATCACGGAGATGGTGCTCAGATGTAGAACGTGTCTGCAAGAGCGCCGTAATCACAGTGAGCCGCTCATGCCGTCAGACTGCCATGAGCGCCCGTGGCAAAAGCTGGGGGCCGACCTCTTTGAGCTAGGGGGGAAGATCTATCTCCTCGTCGTTGACTACTTCTCCAGATATGTCGAACTCGCCCTGTTGACACACACAAAATCCAAGGATGTGATTAACCATCTCAAGTCAATGTTTGCCAGGCACGGCATCCCAGAGAGTCTCATGTCTGACAATGGGCCTCAATTTTCCGGCCAGGCGTTCGCTTCCTTCGCCACAGCATATGGGTTCAAACACCTTACCAGTAGCCCCAAATTCCCACGTAGCAATGGCGAGGCTGAGCGAGCTGTACAGACCATGAAAAATCTTCTGAAGAAAGCATCCGACCCGTACATGGCTCTTCTTGCATATAGAGCCACTCCTCTTCAAAATGGATACAGCCCGGCACAGTTGCTCATGGGTCGACGCCTCCGCACCACAGTGCCGACACATCCATCTGAGCTACAACCTGCGCTGCCTGACCGCAGCTTGCTGTTTCAGAAAGAAAGGGAGAAGAGGATGTCAGATGCTGCAAACTTCAACAGGCGTCATCGTGCGAAGCCACTTAGTGGCCTGTCACCAGGTCAGGAGGTGTGGATGACTGACTCAAAAACATCTGGGACAGTAATCCAGAGGCACACCTCGCCGAGATCTTACCTTGTGGACACACCGCATGGGGAGGTAAGACGAAACCGCATGCATCTTATACCACTCCAGTCGCCAGCACAGGATGAGGGTGGACAGCAGCAACAGGAGCCACTGCCGGTCCTAGAGCAGGATCATGCACCACCTGTTTTGGGGTCTCCAGTGCCTTCTCCGGGAGATTCTACTCCCAGAACCAGGTCTGGAAGGGTGATTAAACAGCCCACTAGACTGAACTTATGAGTAAGAGAGAAAAAAAAAAAAGAGAGAGATGGTGTTAATGTTCATAATGTGCAGGAAATGTTGTTTTATAATGTACCGGTTCCAGAGGAAAAGTGTAAAAAAAAAAAAAAAGAAGTTTGAAAATGTTGTATTTGGGAAATAGAATTTAAGAAGTTAAGACAGTTATAGTCAGAGAATCAGAAGTGTTTGTTTAACAGGTTTTGTTTAACCTTGCTTTCTTCCTCAGGTTTAGATGGACTTTAAAAAAAAAAAGTAAAAAAATATGGGGGGAGATGTGGTGTATCTGAATACAGTACAGCAAGGGTTAATGCTTTACGCAGGTTACGTACAGGGAGTACTGTAGACCAATAGGATTGTGTATGTGGGATCACGGGGGTGTGTGACGCCTTACGTCTGTGGAAGTTGGTTGTTCAATAAAGTTATGGAGTAACGTCAAGACACAGTTGGTCCGCGCTGATTTATTTCCTTAAAAATAGGAGATACGACAAAGACCAGACTTCAACTCTGATATTTATGGATAAATGTACAACTTTCACACCACAGATAAACACTCAATTAAGTTTTTCTTTACTGGATCCACTGGTCTCACGTTTTTCTCAGAGTTTGAGATTCTTGTGACGGTCGATGATATTCCTGTTGCCAGCTGCGATGGTGCCAACAAGACTGTGAAACTGTACTATGACTGGGTAAAACGTTTCCTCAATGATGACCCAGCGCTGCATAGCTTTTACCAGAATCAGTGTTTTCATGTTCAAGCTGAAGACTTCAAAAACGGTCTCACTATTTTGAAACACATTTTCAAACAACCAGAAGGTATGTGGTAAACAGCAGGCGTTATGTTTCAATGATCTGCTGCATTTAACTGAATGATAATGAAAGGTGAACTTCTAACTTCAGTTTTTGATTTGGGAAATAGCTTGAGGGCTATGTCACGTCTTTTCATACTACCTGAGGCATATTCAACTATTCTATTTAACTACAATAACTGCATGGATTACATTTAATATAACAAAAACTGATCTCAATTAATTTGAAATTGCAATCAAATATTTCTTTAATGGTTTATTATAATACAAAACAATGTTTTGTCTAAGAAACTATTTCATGAAGAGAAGAAATATTTTCAAGACATTTACTTGTGCATGTCAGACCTCTTTGTTAAAGTTTTTAAACTTTAGGGTTTGATGCTCCATTTTTGTTGTTGAAAGATTTGTGATTGCTGGGAACATTAACATCCTGAAGAGGACTAAAAATAAACTCTGTAAGGCTCGTCTTTATTGGTTAGCACTGACTAAATGTCACCACACACCAGTTGCAGTTGCGTACGACCTTTTAAATCTCCAATACGATTTTTTTTCCTTGTCTCACTGACTGCGCATATAGAGGCGCCCACTAAGCAAATAAATGAATAAACCACTGGTGCAGCTATAAATATAAATAACTTTTCAGGAAAAAAGCCTGAAGGCTTATTAAAGTTTAGATGCCTACAGCTATTTTATGTATTACAAGCTTCAACAAAAATCATCAACCTGTGAAGGGGAATAAACTAAGCTTTGTCCTCCGCAGCACTGCTCAGCGACACAGAGGAGAGAGAAAGTAAAACAGGTTCTTTAAAATTTATAACTGATAATGATATGCTAAAGTGAAACCTTCTTTGGGGGTAGGAGAACTCTTTCTTATTATCATTCTTCTTATTCATCTGCTCCCTCTGCTATATATATGGTTCAGTCCAGCTATCGGGGCCAGATCATTATCTTTAGTTTTCCATGTTTTCTGTGTCGTTTAGTTTTGTATAGTCCTCAGTTCGTTTCCTGACTCTTGGGAGCCTTCCCACCTTCTGACTCACCTTAAATACTGCGTCCTGCTGTCCCCATTTTATGACATATCATTAATGACACCAGTGTTACTTCTTTCATTTCTTCCTCAGGTATCCATGTTTTACAGAGGATGTATTCATGTGAGAAAGATGATGAGACTCAGAAAGTTAATGCAGTTTGCATGTATGGTTACGATGGAGAAGACCTTATGGCACTGGATTTGGAGGCTGAGACATGGATCACTCCAAACTCACAAGCAAACCCAAATAAAACACTGTTGGGCAGTGACAAAGCCAATATTTTGTTGGACAAGAATATTCTTACCAAGGACTGCCCTGATTGGATGGAGAGATTATTGAATGGAGGGAAGAATATTCTGCTGAGAACAAGTATGTACATTACACTATCCGGTTACTGTGGTGTTATTTGAAAACCAAACCTATGTGAGATAAGATCCTCAGAACCCTAAAAAACATGTCATTGTAAGGTAGAAGGTGATTTTATGACTGCTCTTTATATCTACAGTCCTCCCATTTCTTTACCACAGAATACTGTTATTGTTATTAATATGGATAAACCTTTTAAATGGATGACTCAGGGCTCTTTTCACAAGAAGATAATAGATAATAGACATAATAAGGCACTAATGGAATGCTACTACTCCAGTAACTGTGGCCTGATACTGGTCTATGCCTCTAAAAATTTAATCAGGTATTGCAGGCTAACAAAGACCTTAAGGACTCCCCATTCCTTAGGGGTGGACCCGTTCTTCTGGTTTAATTTGCATGTCACTCTATAAAGCTTGGAACTCAATGCCTACTCTGACATTTTGAATTGAAAAGGGTTCCTGAAGGGAGGCAAAACGTCTTTAAACTTGGAAAACAAAGTCCAATGGATTGTTATTTAACTTTTTTGGAATGACTATGACTGACTAACTGACCTATGAAATAAAATCATGGCTCAGATGAGAACCTCTCAACCCTAGCAATGGCTAGCAAGGTTAAGTAAGGTACTACTGCAACCATCACATAATCTAATGAGCTGATACAAAGCCTAGTGTAACAGACTGTTCTATGTCTGTATGTTAAAGTGGTGTCCATCCCTGTTGCCGGGGAGCGAAAGTTCGCCGGGTGTACGGCAGGGGGAGCTTGTGAGTTTGTGGTTATGTGTTGAGAGAAGAAGAAGAAATAAAACCGGAAGCGGGGCTACCGCCGAAAACTCCGACCCGTCTCTTGTCCCGTTATTGCCTATAAAGTACGTAATACGGACCCAAAACGCTCGGTTACATTGGTGGCAGCGGTGGGATTCCTCTACTAAACCCCCGTTGTTTTTCTAAGTTTTTTTCGTAGCGTATTTAGCCCGTGACGGCTAATTGTCAGTCGGTTAGCATAGCATCTCCGATATAGCCGGCTAGCTAACCTCGTGCGGTGCGGTAGAAAACAGCACTTAAAGGACATGTGGTCGGCAGATGAGGACCCTTTTAAACCCAGCCCGAGCAGGCTTGGCAGATACTCACCGGGCAGTGATGTTAAGATTGACCTCCCCCCTCCTTTCACCGGGGATGGCAGCCAGAGTTTCCTCAGCTGGGCAAGGCAGCTAGAGGTGGCCGTTGGAGCTACAGCCAGGGGCGGCGGCAACTGTGAGGATGAGCTGGTGAGGATTCTGCCCACTCGTCTCGGCAAGTCCGCGTTTCTGCTGTGGGACAGCCTCTCCGAAGCAATCAAGTCGGATTATACTATGATGAAGGAGAGACTTGGGGCAGCTTTTGGACAAAGGCAGTTGATGGACCGCTTCAGAGCCAGCCTCACGGCCCGGGCGCGTGCTCCTGGTGAAAGTCTGGAGGTGTATGCTGCTGACGTGAGCCGGCTGGTCGTTGAGGCTTTTCCGGACTATGGTGAGGTTGCACAGAGGGAGGAGAAGTTCCGACGCTTTCTGGCTGGTCTGGATCCGGCGTTAAAGGCCAAGTGTCTGGAGATGGGTGCCACGGACCTGGAGGAGGCGCTGCACGTGGCTGAGCGCTGTGAGAACGCTAGAGCTGCGCTACAGAGAGACTATGTGAGTGCTGCTGGCTACAGTGGTGAGAATCCATCTATCCAGTCCGTGTCGGTTCCCGGGGGTCTCCAGAAAGCTGTGGAGAAGCTAACAGAGGACATGTACTCCATGAGAATGGAAATGAGAGAACTTTATGAGGACAATCAGAGGCTGAGAGCCTGGAATAGTGACCTGAGGGGACGAGGCATTCGCTCACCCTCGGGGGAACGCTGTCACTGCACCTGTGGTGAATGGGGCTGCCGGTCCAGGAGTTCTAGGGAAGAACAACGTGGTCTCTCCCCTGAATCTGGGCAGCCCCCACGTCAAAGGGGTTTTCAGCCTCGTGGCCCAGGGATGTCCTCCACCCCTAGGCCGACGGGAGGCAGGAGTCCTAGCCCGAGCTGGCGTGCCCGACAGGAGGATGAGCCCAGACGACGTGGTGTGCACTTCCTGCCTCGACAGCGGGACACGGTTAACGACCGTCAGGGAAACGACAATTAGCTGGTATTGAGGCCCAAATGCCAGCCTCTCCTATAGGGGGCCCCTTAAACCATGACTTCTCCAATGTAATAGCCCTTATGGACTGTACTGACCACCCAACTTCCTTCGTCAGGGGTGTGGTTGAAGGCACCGAGGTCCCAATGTTAGTGGATTCGGGGGCGTCGGTTTCCCTGATCAGTGAGGACTTCCGTATGTCAGTCCCGGCTCTGCGAAACAGGCCCATGAAAAAGAACTATATCGATTCTCGGGCTATTAATGGACAGATGTTGGATACACTCGGTACCTGTGAGATCACCTTCAGGCTGGGCCCAACCTACTGGCAGCACACCTTCCACGTATTACGGCAATCCACCCAGAGTGTGCTGCTCGGACTGGATTTCCTGGCTCCGAACTGTGCATTGTTGGACTTGGGGCGAGGTGTGTTACAACTATGGGACATTTCTGTGCCGCTGCTTCAGGGTGGTGAGTTAGTCCCTAGCTGTTGTAATGTGTCCGTTGCTGATGTTCTGACCATTCCCCCATTGAGTGAGGCTCTGGTCCCGGTGAATATTCTCACGTCTGCTGGGACTGGTTGGCCTGCTGCTGATTTTGTGGGCTACCTGGAGCCTAACATTCCAGATACGACAGGACTGGTGGTCGCTCGTACAGTGAACAGTGTGAGAAACGGTGTGACCTCAGCCCGCATTCTCAATTCCACAGGGGACGCAGTTGAACTCAAGCGGGGGCTACACCTGGGGGAGTTCTACCCCGTCAAAGAGGAAGATATCTGCGGGCCACCTCATGTCGCGGACGACCATCCAGCTGTGTCGCCAGATGCAGTGAGCCCTGTCTCCCTGGAGGAGTCTCCTGTTACGGCTGAGCAAAGGGCCAAGCTGGCTGACCTGCTTCAGGGGTTCACTGAGGTGTTCAATTTGGATGGCCGGAACACAGGCAAGTGCACGCTGATCAAACACCGCATCCGAACGGGGGACTCACCCCCTGTGAAGCAGCGTGCTTATCGTGCATCGCCTGAGAAGCGGACGGAGATTGAACGTCAAGTGGCTGAACTGCTGGCAGACGGCGTGGTGGAGGAGAGTTGTAGTCCCTGGGCGTCTCCAGTGGTGCTGGTGAGAAAGAAAGGGGGGCAGTGGAGGTTCTGTATTGACTATCGTCGTCTAAATGCAGTGACGATCAAAGACTCACACCCCCTCCCACGAGTGGATGATAGCCTGGACGCTTTAGCTGGTTCAGTCTGGTTCAGCACACTTGACTTTTCAAATGGCTACTGGCAGGTGGAAGTGGCTGAGGAGGACCGTGAGAAGACGGCTTTCACGACCGGACGGGGCCTGTATCAGTGGCGGGCCATGCCTATGGGACTGTCTAATTCGCCAGCCACCTTCCAAGGCATGATGGAGCTCATTCTCAGGGGCCTGCCATGGCACATTTGTATGGTGTATTTGGATGATATACTGATTTATAGCCGTACATTCACTGATCATCTCCTTCATTTGGATAAAGTCCTATCCAGGATCCAGAAGGCGGGTCTGAGGTTGAATCCGCAAAAATGCTGCTTTGCCAGGGACCATGTCGTTTTCCTGGGCCACCTAGTCTCCAGAGATGGTCTCCGACCAGACCCACGGAACACAGACAAGGTGAGGACGTGGCCAACTCCCCGCACCCCCGTCGGAGGTCAGGGCCTTCGTGGGCCTATGCTCCTATTATCGGAGATTTGTGAGTAATTTCTCCCAACATGCGGCACCCTTGAATCGGCTGGCTGGAAAGAACGTCCCCTTTGAGTGGTCGGCTGAGTGTGAGGCTGCATTCAGCTACCTCAAGCAAGTTCTCACCTCTTCTCCGGTGGTGACGCTGCCCAACTTTGCACTTCCTTTCAAGGTGTACACCGACGCATCTAAAGACTCTGTTGGAGCAGTCCTGGCGCAGGATGAAGATGGCTGTGAGAAGGTGGTAGCCTATGCCAGCCAGGCTCTCGCCCACACACAAAGGAGATGGTCCACCTTCGATAGAGAGTTATGGGCCGTGGTGTGGGCTGTGCGTGAGTTCAAACACTATGTGGGGTTGTCTGCATTCTCCATCATCACGGACCATCGCCCTCTGCTGGGCCTGTGGCGCATGGCTATTGATAATGATCCAACTGGACGTAGGAGCCGGTGGGTGCTGGAGCTGGATCCATTTGATTGGGTCATGGTGCACCGGGATGGCGCACGCCATCAGAATGCTGATGCTCTGTCCCGCCGGCCTGTGTCCCCTGACCCTGTCCAGGCAAATGTTCCTGCAACTGGACCTGTTACTGTGGCTTCTGTGGAGACGTCTGACCACTCTACGGCTGGGAATGTGGAAGCGGAGTCAGTTCTGGTCTATACCCTCGGTGATGGGGGAGCTGAGTTGCAGGCACTGCAGCGTGAGGACTCTGACATCAGTACTGTTCTGACATGGCTAGAGCAAGGCAGGGTGCGACGGCCTCGTAAACTGCCCCGGGATTCCTCTGCCAGCTTGAGGAAACTGTGGACTGAGTTTCACCGTCTGTCTGTGGTTGACGGGCTGCTCTGCCGCACAGCGTTCACTGACAACACCGGACAGAAGCAGATTCAGACTGTTGTCCCTGCATCCCTGGTGCCGGAACTCCTTCAACAGTTGCATGGGGGGCCAGCTGCTGCACATTTCTCAGCAGAACGTGTGTGGGAAAAGGCCAGAAAGTCCTGCTACTGGCCCTTCATGTTGAGGGACATAAGGCAGTGGTGTGAGCAATGTTTGGCCTGTCAGACTCGCAGGAGGCCGGTCCCAGGGTCCAAGGCCCCTATGGGAGAGGCCCAAGTATGCCGGCCTTTGCAGCGGGTAGCCGCAGATATCTTGGAGCTGC